CTAAAGTGTATCTATATCATCATTCAGATAACACACCCATCATTCCGTGAACTCCTTATCATTTCCGGGAACATAACAAAAATCACAGATAACACATTATTATTTTAGATATTAAAAATAGGCCTTGGAAATATTAAAACAGGCGGACTTCTTATACCTAGAGCTAGTTTATTTATATGTAAGTCAGCGATATTGGCATATTTAGATAATTTAATTCAAAAAAATAGTCCCATAGGTTAATTTGTAGGGATATTTTGATTTTAAATGATTTTATTTGCAACTTTCTTAGAGTTTTTTAATTTCTTATTATTAACTACATACAGTTGTATTCATTAAAAAAGCGTACAAGAATTAGAATGAGAGAAAACTGTCAACATTATTGCGTAAAACCGGCTTTCCACTGACTTAAGTCACTATAACTGACAGTAGAAAATAAAAATGCCTCGTCAGTTAAAAAGGCTCAAATAATATCAAGAATCGAAGAAGAATGGTCAATTCGTACTGTGGTATAATAGAAATAAAAAATCTATATTAAAAATTAAGCAACGCTGGGAACAGGAAGATTTACTAAACCAAAAAGTTGGTTCAGGTCGTCCCAAAATGTCCACCCCTGAACAGGATGCTGCTTTTTTGAGATATCTGAGGATTTATGGGAAAATATACAACTATACTATACCTACTATACTGCTGGGAATATATTAATCCAAATATTGTATTAAATTTAATTCAGTTCATCCCAAATAGATTGGCTCAAGTAATAGAAAAACAGGGATGCATGACTAAATATTAATTTTTTTTTAATGTTTGTTTTTTCATTAATAAAAGGTAATAATTTTTGTAATATTATTTAATTAACCTACGACGTCAATGCTCTTTATAACCTATAATAATTATTTTAATGACTTATGTCAGTGATAAGCCGGTTTTAAGCAATAATATTATTTTGACAGTTTTCTCTCATTCTAATTCTTGTACGCTTTTTTATTGAATACAACTGTACTTCCGCTATTGTATAGGGTAAAAAAGAAATACTAAGTTATATTTTAATTTTATTATAAACCTCACAAAAACGTTCCCGGAATGATTGTTTTCAGCGATAGTTTAATTTAAAAATAAAATTACAAGAGAAGCAATTAATTCTATGCTCGGCCAACGTAAATATTGTTTAAACACAAGTTTAGTGATCATTTAAGCTAATTAGCAAAGTAATAGCTGCTAGGTATATTCATCATTAAACATAATTTGAAATTTGCCACCTTGGTGATTTTGACCCATACACTAGACTGGGCCAAAAAAATCAACTTTTTTTTTTTGAAAAGTATATCGAAAATATGGTTTGGGGTGGCAAAAAAAATTATTGTGAAAGTTTGAGTCCATAATATTAATTTTAAGAGGTCTTTCATCGCAATTTTTTTAATTTTTTTTTCCTCAGCAAGTTTTTGTCTCAGAACTCCCAAACCATTGAGTTTAACAAAATTGACTGAAAAACATTTTTTGAAGAAAAATGAATGCTCTACAAAAAAGGTTAAAGTGAAATTTTTCGTCAGATGAACCGTTTCCTTAAAATCATGCCTTAAAAATTGGTATAGTTTTACATTTTGATCTTTTAAATTGGAATTTTGTAATTAATGTAAAAATCAGTACCCATAAGAAAACCAATAAATATTCTTATGGGAAATTAAATGCTTTACAAAAAAAGCCTCTCAACATTTTTGGCTAAATTCACTCAATCAAAAGTTATTCAGGGTTAAAATTTCGTTTTTACCTTGAATAACTTTTGATTGAGTGAATTTAGCCAAAAATGTTAAGAGGTTTTTTTGTAAAGCATTTGATTTCCCATAATAATATTCATCGCTTTTTTCTGGGTACTGATTTTTACATGATATACAAAATTCCAAAGTTAAAATGTCAAAATGTAAAACTATAACAATTTTTAAGGCATGATTTTAAGGAAACGGTTCATCTGACAGAAAATTTCGTTTTAACCTTTTTTGTAGAGAATTCAATTTTCTTAAAAAAATATTTTCGGGTCAATTTTGTTAAACTCAATGGTTTGGGAGTTCTGAGACAAAAACTTGCTGAGGAAAAAAATTAAAATTGCGATGATAGACCTCTTAATATTAATATTATGGACTCAAACTTTCACAATAATTTTTTTTTGTCACCCCAAACCATATTTTCGATATACTTTTCAAAAAAAAAAAATAGTTGATTTTTTTGGCCCAGTACCTATACACCTATACGATAAGCTGTGACTGTGCGTTTTAGTCACGGTATGAACGTGACTAAAAAGCCCGAAACCCGTTTTTGCCAAGTTGCTAATTTAAATGAAATTTAAATATTTATGTGAGGCACATGGTGCTTAGAAATTATAAAAACATGAAAATTTTGCATATAAAAAATATTTCAGGCAAAAAAATTTAACGTTATATGACCCAGGTATAAAATAAGCATCATGGTTTAGAACAAATTAATAATAATCATTATTCTTACTTTACTTTCTTGTTTTATAAGGTGTACCACAAGGTTCTTATTAACGTAATTTTTTTATAAATAATAATATTAAAAGTGAAGAATTACAAAAGATGTAAGTATAGTACACTCACAGGAAAAATAATCGATCCACATAAATTTTCGATGAATTTCAATCGCAAATAACTTTTTTATTTTATGTCGGATTTAAACGAATATTAAAGAATATTGTAGATAAATTAATGGATAATCGCTCACATTTTAAAAAATTACTAAAAAATTGATGTACGTTTATAATATACAGGTTTAAACAAAAAGATGTTTTTTACCATAAGTTTAAGACACTCTATAGAGTGGCTAAACCGTATATTGTTCTAAATTAAGTTTTAATTATCATGCGTGTATTATTATTTGATGTCGGATTTAAACGAATATTAAAGAATATTGTAGATGAATTAATGGAGAATCGCTCACATTTTAAAAAATTACTAAAAAATTATGTACGTTTATAATTTACAGGTTTAAACAAAAAAAAGTTTTTTGCCATAAGTTTAAGACACTCTGTAGAGTGGCTAAACCGTAAACTGTTCTAAATTAAGTTTTAATTATTAAGTCACATCTATTCTTAACAGTTTTGTTTTTGGTTCGCTTCAATATATTTATTTTTGTGGAAAATATGATTTTTTTTTAAAAACATTGCAATTTCCAATAAATATTTTTTCTGTACAAAAAACTAAGGTTCCATGGCTATGGAGGATGACAGTTTTGTTGAATCATCCCAGACTTGGACATGTCATATACAGCTTTCAAAAGCTATCAAATTGTTTTTTGCAAATTAATGTTTAACATTTGAGGTGTCTTCTTACTTAAAAAAATGGATATTTCTTCGACTGATGTTGCCAGATCCATTGATTTAATTCAGGATGGACGGTCACAGTATTACGTGGCAACCCTAGTAGCAATTTGGGAAAAGCCTTGTGCCAGCATGGGTCAAGATACTTGGGACAGATTGTTGATCAAGAATTGTACAAGAATTGGTCCATATTCTTGATCAAGATCATTGGGCAAGACTTGGGACAAACTGTGGCCAGAATTTGTCAAGAATTTGACCAGAAGTCTGAGGCCATCTGTTACTAAACTTAGGGACTATCCTATAGAGTAGAGGTTCTCATTTTACAGTAGTTTCATTCAAGGTGCGCCTTACTCTCTCTGTCTAAGGTATACCGAAGTTTACCGAAGCTAAAATTTTTCTTCCCACAAGTCCCACAGTTAAAAAATTGTATGCAAAAAAAAATTCGACCAAATGTCGTGTATATCATTTGATTCAGAATTTTACGCCATGAATTTCTGTGGTATCGAAAATTTAATGATTTTTTTTTGTAAATCTTTAAAAAAATTAGTACTTTTCAAAACCATTTTCTTGAGCCAAGATTTTTATTTTCAGCCAAAAAAATTTCCGGAGTTTTTTTCAACAGATTCGTTTATTATAGACAAGGTAAAAATAAAAAAAATTCCGAAATCAATTTTTTGCAGGCATTATTTCAAACTCAACGCTAAACTGTAAAGAACTGACGTTTTCAAACTTATTGACTACATTATAATTGAGAACCACTGCAATGCTATACTTTTCACTTTCAAGTGTAAGTAGGGAAATAGAAGGCGCGCTTGTCGTCTCAAGACCCTAGGCCAAGAATCTGGTCAAATTCTGGTCAAAGACTGGCCCAAGTCTGAAGCCAGTCTGGATAAAGAATCTTGGTCAAGTGTCTTGATTAAGAATTGTCAAATTGTGTATAAAGTGCTTCTCCAAGTATCTTGCCGGAGAATCTTGTCCAATTCCATTGCTACTAGGAAAGTGTTTTAAACGTCACAAGAAGTAAAGTACAAAGGGCAACATCAGTTGGAGAAATATCCATTTTTAAAACTAAGAAGACACCTCAAAATTAACACATTAATTTACAAAAAACAATTTAATAGCTTCTGAAAGCCGTATATGACATGTCCAAGTATGGGAGTATATCATATTATTCCATAAAACTGTCACTGTCATCCTCCATAGGCTATAAATGGACCATAGCAACCTTAGTTCTTCGTACAGAAAAAATATTGGAAATTGCAATGTTTTTATTTAAAAATCCATATTTTCCACCAACATAAATATATCAAGATGAACGAAAAACAACTGTTAAAAATAGATGTGAATTGATAATTAAAACTTAATTTAGAACAATATACGGTTTTGCCACTCCACAGTGTCTTAAACTTATAATAAAAACATATTTGTATATATGTTTAAACCTGTACATTATAAACGTACGTGTATTTTTTAATAATTTTTAAAATGTGAGCGATTCTCCATTAATTTATCTAAAATATTCTTTAATATTTGTTTAAATCCGAAATCAAATAAAAAAAGATATTTGCGATTGAAATTTATCGAAAATTTGTGTGGATCGATTATTTTGCCTGTGAGTGTATATATAAAACCTTTGCAATTAAAAATATTCATAAGATTAAAAGTAAAAGTTTACCTGGATAAGGTGGTTTTTCTTCTGATTGCTGCTCCATGACGTAATTGAGCATTGTAGTACTAAAAGTGTCGTCTCTTTTGAGACCCAAAGCCCTGTGGAACCAGTCCACAGCCTCATCTGTATTACCCATAAGAGCGTGAACATAGGCTATAGAGGAGTATATTCCGGCATTCTGTGGAGATAATAAAAGCGCCTCTTTATGATATTCCAAAGCTTCATCATATTTCTTTAATTTTCTGCAAGTGTGGCCCAAATTGTTACACAAAGAGCTCCATCTTTGTGGAATTATTCCTTTTTTTATTTGCTTTACAATGGTTAATGCGTCTTTGAAGTGGCATTCAGCTTGTTCATACCTTAAAAATATTTTTATATTGAACAATTTTATGTTAATATATTTTTGGTACAAGAGGTAAACAACCTGACCGAACCCCTCGGTTTGGTCACTTTTAACTTTTAAACTAAAATGTCTTACCACATTGGTTTTTGTTTTAAAAATTGTTTGGAATAATTACTGTTTAAGGTATAAAGCAATTAGAAAAGTAACATGCACCCCTCATCAAAATTGTTTAAAAACATGCACAAATTAAAAAAATAAAATAAAATTGTAAAACATTTCAGATTTTTTTAATTATTTGTGTAGAATACACTACAAGTGTTAGGTGTGTTCCTCCTGCCTGCGCATTTTTTTGTGTATGGAGCATCAACTACAATGTACAATGGTCAATAGCTTTTCAACATTTGAATTTTTATTTTTTAATTACAAGGCCGAAACTTGCCCACTAGGCTACCCCAGTGTGATCTACTGTATGTTTAATAAATAATAATTTTATATCCTGTAAAATAAGTCCATGGCTAGATGTTGCCATGAATAAAAATCTATATATCTATATCTCCATTTTTGACAAGTACCTATCAGACTCTTGTCAGCGTATTTCATTCATTAGTACGCGTTAGTGTAAAGGACCCTTTGTGTTTAATGGGGAATAGTATATTCTGTAACAAGTTTGGAATTCAGCATATTCCGCTCGAGTGAAGAGTTTGTCACACGAGCCGAAGGCGACCCGGACAACATTCGTGATAATCATACGAACATCACGTCGTGATTTTCACAAATTTTATTCATACTGATATCATACGGAAGTCACCGCGTGATAAATGAAAATCATACGAACGTCACGACGTGATTTTCACAAATTTTATTCATACGGACATCATCCGGATGTCACTGCGTGAGAAATAAAAATCATGTCGTGATTTTTTATGCCATCGCTGTTTGCGATTGACCGATGGCACAAAAAATCATTTTGTGATTTTTTATGCCAACAGTGTTTGGATAATCATTTTTGCGCCACGTTCGTACACTAAGAGAAAAATTATGTTGAATCAACAGTTTTTGCGGTTAAATACATTTAATATTTTCTTGGATTTAAATTAACTATATATATTTAATTTAAATCCAAGAAAATATTGAATGTTAAACTGTTAATTTAATTGTTAACATACTTTTTCTTTCAATGTACGAATGTGTCGCAAAAATGAATATCCAAACACCGATGGCATAAAAATACATGTCGTGATTTTTTATGCCATCGGTGTTTGGACATTTATTTTTGCGCCACATTCGTACATTGAGAGAAAAAGAATACCTACATATATATTGAATCAACAGTTTTTGTGGTTAAATAAAAACATTCAATATTTTTTTGAATTTAAATTAATAGTTAAGTTACATTCAAGAAAATATTAAATGTATTTAACCGCAAAAACTGTTCATTCAATTGTTAACATACTTTTTCTTTCAATGTACGAATGTGGTGCAAAAATAAATATCCAAAGATGTCGGTGCACCGATGGCATAAAAAAATCATGTCGTGATTTTTTATGCCCAAACACCGATAGCATAAAAAATCATGTCGTGATTTTTTATGCCATCGGAGTTTGGATATTTATTTTTGCGCCACATTCGTACATTGAGAGAAAAAGAATACCTACATATATATTGAATCAACAGTTTTTGTGGTTAAATAAAAACATTCAATATTTTTTTGGATTTAAATTAATAGTTAATTTACATTCAAAAAAATATGAAATCTATTTAACCGCAAAAACTGTTAATTCAATTGTTAACATACTTTTTCTCACACTGTACGAATGTGGCGCAAAAATAAATATCCAAAGATGTCCGATGGCATAAAAAATCATGTCGTGATTTTTTATAACCAAACACCGATAGCATAAAAAATCATGTCGTGATTTTTTATGCCATCGGTGTTTGGATATTTATTTTTGCGCCACATTCGTACATTGAGAGAAAAAGAATACCTATATATAATATATTATATATATATATTGAATCAACAGTTTTTGTGGTTAAATAAAAACCTTCAATATTTTTTTGGATTTAAATTATTAGTTAATTTACATTCAAAAAAATATTAAATGTATTTAAGCGCATAAAAAAATCATGTCGTGATTTTTTATGCCCAAGCCATCGGTGTTTGGATATGGATATTTATTTTTGCACCACATTCGTACATTAGGGGAAAAAGTATACTTACATATAATATATATTCAATATATTATATTGAATCAACAGTTTTTGTGGTTAAATACATACAATATTTTTTTGGAATTAAATTAATAGTTAATTTACATCCAAGAAAATATTAAATGTATTTAACCGCAAAAACTGTTAATTCAATTGTTAACATACTTTTTCTCACAATGTACGAATGTGGCGCAAAAATAAATATCCTAACATGTCCGATAGCATAAAAAATCATGTCGTGATTTTTTATGCCCAAACACCGATAGCATAAAAAATCATGTGGTGATTTTTTATGCCAACGTTGTTTTGATAATCATTTTTGCGCCACGTTCGTACACTAAGAGAAAAGTTATGTTGAATCAACAGGTAACAAACTAGGTTTTAAATTCGCAGTTCGCAGGGCTATTACGCATGCGCAAATTTTGCAAAAATCACACCGTTCTACATGATATCACTGTGATGAAGCATGTGTATGCACTCAGGATATCACGGCGTGACAAAAAAATCACGTTGTGATATCATCATGATTTCACCAGGAAATCCCGATTGTTGTGCGGGGAGTTTGACGGTTTCACGAGAGCGGAATATGCAATTCCAAACGTCTTTCAGACTAAACTTTTTCTACTCCTATTACGGAATTTGACCGTTCTAATATCACTTTTATCTATGGAATGACATATATTCCGGAAAGTGTTACAGAATGAAATATTCTATCATCGGATGACAGAATAAACACTCGTAGCGACATCTCTGTTTTTAATATCTAACAAATTTTAGACCGATCCAACCTCACTTTCTTCCAATTAAATTATTTTTCTATGGTATTTTTTGGAAACGTAGGAAAAGTATAGTCTGAAACACGTTTGGAATTGCATATTCCGCTCTCATGAAACCGTCAAACTCGCCTTCGGCTCGTGTGATAAACTTTTCACTTGAGCGGAATATGCCGTAGGTATTCCAAACTTGTTACAGAATATAGTATTTTCTACGTTTCCAAAAAATACCATAAAAAATAATTTAATTAGAAGAAAGTGAGGTTGGATTGGTCTAAAATTTGTTAGATATTAAAAAAGGGGAGGCGCCACGAGTGTTTATTCTGTCATCAGATGATAGAATATTTCATTCTGTAACACTTTACGGAATATATGTCATTCCATAGATAAAAGTGATATTAGAAGGGTAAAATTCCGTAATAGGAGTAGAAAAAATAGCTACAAAATTTTTAACGAGGAATTTGAAAAAATTAAAAAATTATTACAAAAATAAGTAATTTGTTAACAAAATTTAATGAGTTACTATGTTTTGTTAATTTATTTATATAAGTAATTATGCAAAAGCTGGCCATATCAATTATAGTTAAAGTATTTTTTAAATGTTTTTAATATGATTGAGTAAAATATAGTAAATCGACTATAAGTTAAAATAAATAATTATTTAGTAAAAATACAACTTAAAAAATCCATATTATATTAAGTAAAATTGAACATATTATGGTAACTAAATCCATAACAATTTTTTTCTTTAATCTCTAAATAAGGGACAAAGAGTCTATAACATTGTTTCTTTCTTTTTAGTTTTTAACCCCAATGGTTCCAAATACGGTGCCACTGGTAGGTTAACTTCAAATTTGTTCTTTTGAACTTTCTTAATAATAAAACACCGTTACTACAAGTTACACACACTATTCCAAACGTAAAGCTAGTCTGGTAAAGTCCGATTTATTAAAAACAGATTTTTATTTATTTATTCGGAAGTGTGAAAATTACGTAAATCATAATTCAGCAAATAGTAGTAGAAAAAGTTCTATGTTTTTTTTGAATGAATGAATAGATTTATTGAACCAATGAGACATTACAAAGAAAATCTATGAAGGTTCATCCCCTTACAGTTTTTTATAGTTGATTATAATAATAATAATTATAATAATTATTAACATGTTGATTAAAATATGCACAAATGAACATCAACATTCAAGTTGCCAGATTTTAATCAATGCTAAAATATATATATAAAGCTTAATATTAATTATTTAATAACTTTAAAATACTCCCGCCAACAGCAGCAGCTTTATTAGTACCATTAGAAAATACTTTGCGTTAAACCTAGCAACTTGAGTTACTAGCTTTTACTGGATGAAATTTAAAAAAAATGGAACATTGTTGATAGTAACTTTATTTGCCATATAGGATACCTAACAGTTTTTAGAAGTTACTAAAAATAGAGATAGACATTTTACAGCCACCGTAATATAAAAAGAGATAAAAAATAGTTACTAGAGGTAAATTTGAACGCTAAATCAAAAAATGCAGTAATTTTTTAAAACCTAGTAACTTAAGTTACTATGTTCTACCAAAGTACGGCAGCTTTGGTCTAAACCATGAACCAGGGGTCGCCGATTAGTTTTATTGGAGGTCAGAATTATTTGATTATCAGATTGTTGCGATCCGGACCGCAAGCAATTTCTAATTAAAAATAAAAAAAGGAATTAAATTGAATTAAGAGGTGAAATAAAGTTAATTTTTAATATGGACATGTAGGTAGACTACCTACATGTCCATATATAACTACCTAAGGTAGTTATATATGCTCAATCTCAATATATTACATGTAACTATCTCTTTCTCTTCTATTCCACATTTTTATGAGGTAGTTTTGGAGTTAAATTTGTATACATGATGTAGAGATGTAAAAAAAAACCCTTTCTTTATTCACTGTTTTTATTCAAATGGTTTGGTGATCCCTGTCCTAGACTCTAGGGTTAAAGCAAAATAGTGGATTCTAGGGATAGAACGATATCACTTTTTTTTGCCGATACGATATATCGGCCGATACCGATATTTACGTGCCGATATACCGATATACCGATATATCGTATCCCGTTTTAATTCCGTTGCGAGGAAACGTTTGTGATTGGTAGTGAGTGACATTTTATACAGTGTATTTTAATTTTAACCAGGGGTGTTTCTGAAACTTTGAAAACTGTGCAGCCATCTAGCGTGATATTGTACTAACTAAGATCAAATTGTACTAACCGCGAAAATTCAAAAACTGTCCAAATTTAATCAACATCAGATTTCAACTTCCAGAATCACCCTTGCTTACGTAAAATTATAATAAATAAACTACTGGCGCTTTGTGTTTTCTTATGGCAAATCTACAAAAAAGTAGATGATAAGGCTTTATGCAATACAAACTGGGTTTAGTTGTGTAATTATTTAGGAAGTTCAAAAAAAAAGTAATAAACAGCTAACATGTCCATTACATTCACTATCACCTCACAGATTCACAGCCGACACCGACAACCTGTCGTCGTTGAAGTTGACATTTGACGCCTTGCGCCACATTCCCTTCATAGAGAAACTTTATGATTCCCTCCGTAATGTAGGCTCCGTTACCAACAGTAAAAAAAACAGTGGCTAGAAATTTTGTCTCAATTTTGAGATTCGTTTTATAAATTTTTTCTAATTAATTAATTGCCTTTAAAGGCAATTTTGAAAATTGTACTAGAATTGCCAAAGAGGTGCTGACGTACTAGAAGCTATTTTTTTGTACTAGAAAAGTACAATTGTCCTAAAAATCACACCCCTGATTAAAACGAATAGATACACTTAAATAAAACAAGTGTCAAACCCCGCCCACTGTGGTAGGGATTAAGAATTTATAGGTTTTATTTTTATCGAATTCGTTTGTTTTGTTTTAATGCATTTCTGCAAATAAAAACTAAGTATTGTTTAAAATCCAGTAAATTCCAGTTAATGGCGAAAATGTATTTCTTAAAAACTATACACATTTCCCTACGACAGTATTTCATTTATGCACTGAAGAGTGAAAAGCGCAATTTTTTTTTGCCGATATATCGGCAATTATCTTGCCGATACGATACGATACCGATAATCGGAAACAAATGCCGATATGCCGATATACCGATATCAATATCGGTATCGTTCTATCCCTAGTGGATTCAAAGTCATTATCGATATTCAAACAACATGAACGGTCAAATGAGACACAATTATCTCAGAAATTATCCGACAATTCTGCAAAATCCTATTGGAAGATCAAAGTCACCCGTGAATGTGTGAGATTGCAAGGCATCTTAACTGGATCGTCCGTTACGATTTTGCATTTACATAATATATTATAAAAAACTTCCTCATTTGGCAAAGACAAAAATCATATTTTACCAAGACAATTTCTTAGCTAACAAAGCTGCTATAACCATTCCAGGGCTTCTAGTAAAAAAATTGAAAATTTTAATGATATTAATGACTTCCTTTTTTGAAAATAATGACAAAATAATGACTTTTTCTTTTAAAAAATGACTATTTTATGACTTTCTATCCTAATGAAAATGTAAATGTAAAACTTCTGTGATAAAATTCTATTATATTAAAATTCTATTTTTTGTACTAAATATGTTAATAATGTTATGTAAATCAACTTAGTACTTAAGTTAAAAATGTTGAGACTGACAAAATGTGATTCTTGTGATAAGTGTAAAAAATGTTTAATGTTAAAAAATATTAATGTAAAATATTTAGAGGATAAGCCTGTAATGAAATGTAAAATTTCGAAAGGTTTCTTAATAAATTCTAATCCAATTCTAATCCAAAATAAATTTTAAGTTGGAAAATAGTATTAAAACCTCCTTTTAAATAGTTTTATTCTTAATCTTTATTGTTTTAACAAGATAAAATTAATTAAAATAAATTAACAAATAAATATAAAATTCTCAAATAAAATTAAAAAAATTAACTTAAAAGAATTAGCAAATTAATTGGGGTTTCAATTTATTTATTTAATTTTTACTTACATTATTACATATTTTTAATTAATAAAACGTTTCGCTATCGAGCTCTAGCCTTTTAGGTTAAGCAAAACAATTAAAACACGCACTCTTTAGAAGAAAATGGCGGGAGTGTGTTTCACTTATGTTCTGTGGTGTTTCATGAGACACAAGAATGAAAAAAAGAATGAGATCAACAAAGAAAGAATTATATTCACACGGCACTACCAGTGGTGTACATTAATAAATTAAAGTGGCGTAGATTTTCCATTTTATTTGTATTACCTATTTACGAAAAAAATCTTATAAACATTAAGTAAGAACCTAAAATAATGATCAAAAATGACCAATCCCTACAAAAAATGACATTAAATGACCACAACAGAAAAAAATGATTTTTAATGACTAAAATGACTTGCTAGAAGCCCTGCCATTCTAAAAATTAAAGAATTAGTCTGGGAATTGCTGCCGCATCCATCTTATTCGCCAGATCTGGTTCTCAGTAAATATATTTTTTTTAAATCTTCGCCAGGACAAAAATGATTTAAATGAAGAAGCAAAGGGAAACTAATTCCGATATTAAGATACTTGACAAAATTCATTATTCAAAATGTTAAAATTAGTTGGCCAAGTCTTTTTTGTAAACTATAGGTATTCTTAAGTAAAATGATTTTTGTCCAAAAAATTGTGTTATTTTTCGTTAGGCTGTGAACTACCCAGTATGTGAATAACTTACTCTAGCTTGATAAAGGCAATGACTCCCTTCTCATGCATTATAAAAGGATCATCAGGGGCAATATTATGAGCTTGCTGGACAAATTTTTCTGCCAATCTCACATTATTTGTTAAACCACATTCCAGGCCAATATATAATAATGGCAAATGACATCTACAAATGATAATATCAAAACATTATTTTTGGATTAAATAAACATTTAAAAATTAATAAGGCACTTAAAATGATTTACCCTTTCATTAATTGTGATGCTTTAAAATAAGCTGCCATAGCTTGATCATGTTCATTTTCTACTGCAAATGAATGGCCATAGGCCAGCCATGCTGGCCCAAAAAGCCTATCCAAACATGTTGCTTTTGCCAGATATCTTCTTGCATAATCACTTTTTTCTGAAAATAAGTTTTTATTGTGTGAAAACTGCAACAGGAGGGACATCGGACGCAATCTCGTATTCACGTATTTAACTTGCTAAGTAGTACTTTAGTTTTGATATGAATGTATAACATATTTTTATACAGAAAAACGGTAGTCAAAAATGTTAAACCGAAGGATATCAAAATAAAAAATGAGGTGGGTGCTATTGAATTTACTTTAACATGGAAAATGTTTATTGTACAATAGTTTATAATTACCAATAATATAGTAGTAACACCCTACAGCAAACCATGATATAGCCATATTAGGATACAAATCAACCAAATTATGGGCCAAGGAGAACAATTCTATAAAAGATAAAAACATTTAATAAGACAAAAAATAACTTTTTGTTTTCACTCACTGTTGCTTTGTTTTAATTCAACTAAACACGAAATATGTATAGGCAGACAACTATCATGATAGGGATCTTGCTTCAAAATATTCTCTGTTAAGACACTGCACTTCTGATAGTCACAATTATAGTACATCCTTTCAGCTTCAGCTACATGCAAATCTAAACTGTCTTTTAATCTTAATATTAAGGTATTTTCCGATGATTCTGTTACCATACTTTCAGCATTACTTATTTTGCCTTTCTTTGATTCATTTTTGGAATTTTTTTCATTATTGTATATTATATTGGGAGTACTATTGATTGAGGTACTACTAATTGAGGTAGGTGTAATGAGTATGGCTGGCAATGATGAATTGCTTTGTGTGGTTAAATTTATTTGTCTGTTTATATTTCCTGAATATGGAGTACTTCCAAATAGTATTTTAGATTCCATGAGCTTTGCTTTGGTTGGTGTATGATATTTTTTTAGTTTACTTTCATATAATGTTAATAAAATTTCGGCATCTTCTGCATTGCATTGTTCTGATATTGGAACATTTAATGAGTTTAGTAATTCTTGTTCTAAAATAAAGTTAATTTATTTAATAATGTATATAAAAGTTGTATGTTTTTATTTATGGGGTCTAAACACCATTTATTTAGATTTCAAAGCCTTAGGGCTGCACTACGAGTTTTGGCAAAATGCATTTTATGTTAAATTCGCTGTTTAAAACCGAAATTCTCTATGGCGAATCGGAATTGTTTGTTGAAATCAGCGCCGGTAGTGGTGAAAAAAGAACACGTAATTTGTGCGATTTAGTGGGCAAGTTCTATCAATTTCCCTATAGGGAAATTGATAGAATAGAATATATTGTGTTCCTTGTGTAGGCTCCATGGAACCAACCCTACTAACTAACATAATAAATCCGAAGAATTATGTGGTTCTTTTATTACCATGGTGTTTTAATTTTATTTCTATCGCTAATCGCCAATTTAAAATTTAAATTATTAGCTGTTTTCTTGGTGTAATCCCGAACTAGTTTGGACATCATAGTCATGCACATTTTACATTTTAAACGCCAAATTTCAAATTGCGCATGCCTAGGAATCCATAGCTGTTTTCGAGGAATGGCCTGATTAATAACAAGTTGTGGTTCTTGATTCTTTCAGATAGGAATAATTTGGGTTCTATGATATAAAATGGGGTTTTGATGCCTTATTCAGGCGTTGTGATGCCTTATTTCAATTAAGATTCTAAGATATTTTACCTAATGTACTATTTTAACCAATTTTTTTAAATGTTAAGTTAAAAAAAAAAACATTAAATTTGCAGTCTTTTACCAAAAATTCAATATCCCATATCACAGCCCCTATGCTTTGTGTGAAATAAAAGTTGCTTACCTTCAGCTGCTGTAAGCATTTGGTATTTAATTAATGAGTCAAATGCTTCATAACAGTAGACATCTTTACTTAAAGCTAACTTGTAACATCCTGCAGCTAATCCACGATTATCCATTGCTTCTAATACTTTACCTTTTAAAAGGTACATTGCAGCATATGTTTGCTAAAAATGTAAGTACCATTGAAATCTTTTACTTGTCCTTAAAACCATTTACTTACACTTTTAGGAGTATCTTCAAACAAAATATATTCCTGTACAGAAACATTTGGAGTAGCATTTGAACTTTTAATTGGAAAACTGTGCAAATCAATTAAATTAACAACTTTTAAAGCATCAGTCAATTCATTAGCTTCCAATAGGCATCTTACTGTTAGGTAATTACATAAAACGTAGGACTAAAATAAATAAACGTTTTAAAATATTTTATTCAATATAAACATTAATAGTACCTTTTCTAAGTTCTTTGACCTTAATAAATGGGCAGCTCGATGATATTGTTTTAATAAATACATACATTGCGCCAGCCAGTAAACATCCCTTGGATTTCCAGTTAAGGCAACCACTTTGTCAGCCCAAAATAAAGCAGATTTATACGCATGCTAACAAAAATCGCTTTTAATACAGTATTTATTAATGTAATGTTATAATCTTACCAAATTTATGTAAGTTTGTACTATTTTGCGATAGCTATCAATATTTACATTCGTATTTAGAGTCTTCATGATTATTTTTTAAATTAGTTTGACATTTCTTGTTCACTTCTTCTTCTGCGATCTGAAAACGTCTCCGTTTTCAGGGGGGATAGCCTTTAGCTTAGTTAAAAGCTATTTGGCCAGCCTGTTCACTTTCTTCTTCTTCTTCTTTGATCTGAAAAAACGTCTCCGTTTCTTCAGGGGGGTATAGCCTTTAGCTTAGTTAAATACTATTTGGCCATTTTAGAACTACAAAAAATCATACTAACCTTACTTTTCAAATTTTGGTGTCGTATACAGGGTGCTATCAATAGGTTGATACGAGGGTACAATAAAAATACACAGTGAGGTCGCTAATGGAGAATTTATTAGTATTAGTAGTATCAGTAAGTATTGTCAAAAATGGCGTTTTTAACTATGTTTGCAATTTTAAATATGCTTAATTTAGTAAAATATTCTTATTGCATGGAAGTAGATTATTGCACATTTTCTAAGCAGCACACATTGTGTAAATATAAGGTGAGGTTTAAAAACATTACCTTAGAACTTTTTTATTTTCATAACTATATCGAATTCTCTAGGACGGACCATCTTCGAAATGTTCAGGGTACAAACATTTTCAATTTACAAAAGAAATGCAGGAACATATTGTTCTTGTGCATAATGATATAAGGGAAAAAGTTGCCTCTGGAGAAGAAAATCAGGGTTTATTAGGGGGGCAACCTTCTGCTTCAAACATGCAAAAACTTGTAATTGTTTGTTAAATCCCAGGATAGGCTTTTTTATATAGCTATATATTTTTATAGGAATGGGATGAAGAATTAGCCACTATAGCACAAAGATGGACAGATCAATGCGTTCAATTTAATGAGAATCAGCACGATATTTATAAAGATACAAGTACAAATACATTTAAAATAAAACATTAATTATTACTTTTTTCTTTTAGGGCGATTTGAAGTGGGTCAAAACATTATTACAGCAACGACGAAAAGTACTTCACCACCTGACATAGTATTGCTTGTAATGAACTGGTACAAACAGGTCCAATATGTGTTTCCTTCTGATATAGACAAATTCACCACGTAAACTAATTGTAAATTATTATTAAAAAAAAACAACTAGTGAAAAAAGTTTACAGGGTGTACAGGGGAGGTCACATGTTAGGCCAATACAGCCAAATGGTATGGGCTAAGTCTCACTACGTTGGATGCGGGATGGCTCGTTACAAAAAGTTGACGGTGGAAAATAAAGATACAGACTTCTATTTATACAGATTGGTTTGTAATTATGGACCCACAGGCAATGTTTATGGAGAACAAATGTACCTGAGAGGCAGACCTTGCTCAAGATGTGCTCAAAAGCAATGCGATGAAAAGTGGACCAGTCTTTGTGACCGGCGTACGTATTATTATTATTTGTTTACTATACAGGGTGTCCGGGAAATGCGTGTATAACAAAAGACCATAATATTATTATGCATAGATAACTTAATATATATTATATAATATAATAATATAATTGTGTGGTATGTGGGATCCATATTGTAAAATATTGATTTATGGAAATAACGTAAAAACAAGTCAGGCAATTTTAACCATTTTTGTTATTTAGTTTTAACTAAAGTAAAGCCCTCTGGCGCCTAAACGAAGCAACTATGATCTATGGACAGGGCTGGATGCTCCCGTGTGCGAGTTTTGGTTCGTGCCGCGCATGACGTCACTTGATGAGTAGTTGCTGTGCGAATACACGAATAATAGTAATATTATCAAAGAAAATAGAGAAATATCTGGACATAGTGCGTTTTTATTAAACTTAATATTAAAGAAAGTGTTATAATATGGATAATAGATGCTTTCAGTCCATGATAACATTTAGGGCTGTAGTTTAAGAGTTGGTGTTTTAAATTAAACTTATAGTCACTGTCCAAAAAATGTTTATAGGAAACAGAAGCGGTCTTAACGTTAATATTGTCTATTCTTTTTGTGGCATTTAACCAAATCAAAGTTTTTCGGGAATCGATGAAATTTAATGTTTTATTTAAAGGGTTTTTCTTGGACTAATTGTCCGAATTGCATCCAAATATGCCACACCGCATTTAAATAAATGCAAATGGCACAACACAACCTAAAACACAAACAAAACAAGTTAACGCAACACAAAAACAATAATAAACAAACAGAACAGGTTCCCTGCTTAAAATACCCCATAGAGACCTATACAAAATATTCTATAGGGCGCTACCGGTTTCAATATGTGCATTTGTCCAAGGTTTTTTCCGGATACAGCCCGATAGAAAATGTATAGGAAATTACCTATAGGCACACCATAACTTTTACATTTTCCCTATATTGAGACCGATAGAAAATAACTCAATGAAGGATATATAGGGATATCCCTATAGAACAACCATAAAACATTTAACAAAATTTTATTAAAACCTATGGGGTCCTATAGGGAAAAAACTAATTTCTACATTTATGTGTATTTTCCCCATTGATACCGATAGCAAATAAATCAATGGTGGATATCCCTATAGAACAACCATAAATCTCAACTATGGGTCCTATACAAACCGATACACCCTATAGAAACACCATACATCCCGATACAAATATCTATCGGTTTGAACAGAGTCTCTATGGGGTATTTTAAGCAGGGTTGCTCTATTTTTTTGTTTAACTTGTTTTTGCGTTCGGTAAGGTTCGAATTACTTTTCAGTGTTCAAATTATTGTTAGTGCGTTGTGTTAACCTGTTCTGTTAATTAACATCCAACAGCATCGCAAAAACAAGAATTTTAGCAGCAGATAATCAAAACGCACCTTAAAGATTTAAAAACACTCATCAAGTGACGTATTTAAGCCCCGCCCAACATGCGCACCATCCTATCTTAAGGTGCATGCCTAGACAAAAACTCTAGGGGTGTATGTATCTTGATCTATGGATAATAAATAATAATTAATATAATATGTTATTATTGTACTGTTTTGTGAATGATAATAATAGTATAAACAAGTAAGTGGTCCCCTTAAAATATATTTAAATTATTGTCTTTCTTATTTTTAGGCTCAAGTTTTAACATTCTTAACCGTTACAATATATTGATGGACTTTCCTAGTGAATATGAAGTTCAAGGAGAACCAGAGCAGGAAAACACATATTACTTTAATCCAGACGAAACCCAATTGTTTAAACAAAAAACCGGCCATCTGTTGGAGGATTTGGTTATTAATAATATAAACGAAGAACAACTTAATATAACTGAAAAAATGAATGATTTTTACCATGTAATTTCCCCGAATAAACCACAAGTGCATAATGTGGTTAAAGATATTGAGGATGAGCTGCAATTTAATATCCCAACTGAGGGCTTTACTGTCAAAACTACTACAAGCAAGTTTAATTTTGTAAGATATAAATAAATATATTTATTATCCATTTTTAGTTGACCCAGACCCTAACCATTATATTGAAAAAATCGATAATGATACTTATAATTTGGTTGGTCAGGGTGTGTATAAACTTTCATATGGAAAATGGCAAGCAGGAGAATGTGATTGTACATTTTTGTATAGGGATAATACTGCAAAAATGGACTCTCGCAGTTTTTTAATTTATATATTTTTAATATTGTATTATTTATAAAAATATTGTCTATGGGTATAAAATTAATGATTTATTTATTAATTAATTATATATTATATATTTATAAATAAAGAACTTATTTCATGCGACGTTTTCTCGAATTCGTCCATTGCGAAAAAATGACGTCTTATAAGACATATTCGTTCTTTAATATACTATTCTATGTTTGGAACTTCAAAGACCTCTAGTGGTCTTATATATAGTTACTATAGTTAGGGAGCTGGTGGCAATTTCGGTATATAATTTGCTCGTCGTTGGAAATGATATGTTATATTATAGTTTTGATGCTTGTGAACTGAGTAAATAAGGTGGCAGGCTCAGGTATCGCTGCTTTTTTTAATAATTATTTTTTTTAATAATTAATTTTAATAATTTTCAAAATTGTAAAAAATAAAGTCATTTGCTCGTGCCTGGCATTTAGGTTTTATATTAAATTAACCATGTTGATACTAAAATAACATTTTACAGACGTCTACCCTGGCGAAAATAAAGTGTGCAATAAGTGTGTATTTAGAGTGCACTGCGCATAGACTCTTTTTTTTTTGTAATGTCACACTTTTTGAAATAATTTAGTTTTTTCACTCTTTATGCACATTGACATCACGCTTTTTATTTGTCACTTGTCACGCTTATATTAAATTATTTTTTTGCACATTGTTTGCACAGTTTTAGTACATTGTTTAAAGACAATTTTGCTTCAGTATATCTTACGCATGTCACATTTTATACACACTGTTAAGACGCTTTATTATTTCTCATTTATCACGCTTATATTACACCTTTTTATAGCACATTGTTTGTACAGTTTTAGCGATCACTCAACTGTTTAAGCACATTTTAGATATATCTCGTTTGTGTTGTGGTAAAACATTTATTTAAAAGATGAGGTAGATTACATCTTATGTATCGCTTCTCGGCAATCCCCGTTGTGGAGTTGACAGTTCCGGTATTTTTCTTAATAAAATACATGACAGGAATATAAAACCTACATTGTGGGTATTTTTTTTAAATTTTTTAAAAAGAACCTCTTCATTATGTTAGTATTAATATTATTATTAGGATATTTATTTATTGATTAAATAAATTTAAAAGACTAGAGTTCACCGAAAACAACAGAAGGTGGCAAGAAACAGTGTGCAAACAATGTGAACTATCAAAAGGAGTTCCCTTTAGAACAAAGAACATTGTCCAGTGATTATTCACACTTGTAAATTTTGTTTCATGTTCCATTTCCCACCCTCTGCACATTGTTCTCAAATAATTTTGCACACTTTTTGCACATTTAAATTTTGCCAAGGTAGGACGCTGCGTTTTTTTAAGTAATTTTAAATATGTAAAAACAAATGGTATATTAAGTGAGTTGCTCGTCTTTATCTTATTTTTTTAATTGTTCATTTGCATCCCCTAAAGAAAAAAATAATGCCAGATGTGGTACCCCAGGTGTCCAAAAAAACATTAAGTAGTGCACCACAAAACTTATTACAACTTATATTTTAACTGGTATAAAGATATATATAGATTACACATCCGTTTACATCGGCATACTCGTGATCATTAATCCTCTCGCTCTGTTTCATTACGTGACATCGCTATGATCCTCGTTTACCGGTCTCCACAATGTTGTATGTATCTTGCCACAATCCCTCCTTTTTTTTCAATTGACCATATCTATGGACCATATGCAAGAAATGCGGTCGATGTTGCCAATGGTAAAAAAATAAAATTCCATATTGGGAACATTCAATTATATTACGTTGGCTACACTGAAATTTTGAATTTCCCGCATAAACTGACACATTCTAGTAGTTCCCAGAGATAAAGAAGGTAGTTCCAATGTTGTATAATAAATTAAGGTGCGAATTTCAAATGTGGGAATTATTATTATTTATTATTATTAAAAAAAAAGATGGAAATTAATTTAGTTTGTGTGGGAAATTCAAATTTTCAATGTAGCCAACGTAATATAATTGAATGTTCCCAATAGGGAATTTTATTGTTTTACCATTGGCAACATCGACCGCATTCCTTGCATATGGTCAATTGGTGTTACTTTGAGCTGGGAATCCTAGGGGACATCCTGCTCCGTAACACTGTCCTTCGATGTCGAGAGATTTTTCATGTTGCCTACCGAGGATCCCTTTGCAACAACAGACGGAGGCTCGTTGTTATGACGTTTTCTTGTCGGTACTTTTTACGTTTGTTGTATGCCGCTTATAGATCTTTTCATCTTTTTGTAACGTTACTTCATTTCCCTTCCTCTCTATAACTTTAGACTCTTCATTTAAAAATCTGCTTTCCAATTTATTCCCAATTGTCATGTTTTGGGCCAACGCTATATCTCTTGTCTGAATGTCACTGTTCTTATATCTTCTAACTTTATCTTCCCTCATCTTTTCTTTTTCCTTATTTATAATGTCGGTGTCTCTAGCTTCCTCATCGCCCTCGTTACTGAGAAGATCATTTATCGATGGTATTTTGTCTCGTATGTTTCTTCCAAAAAGGAATTGCGATGGAGATTTTCCCGTAATACCATGTGGTGTACCATTCTACATAAGCATAAATTTTTGTACTTCTGCCAGATATTCTCGTTTATTGGCATAAGCAATTTGTAGGCGTTTTAGAGTTGCTTTGTTCATGTTCTCTACTTCACCATTGGCCTGTGACCAATATGGCGGAGTGTGCACCAGTTTTATACCATTGGACTTGCAGAATAGTTTAAATTCGATGCTTACAAACTGCCTTCCGTTGTCTGCCCTTAAACATCTCGGGAAACCAAGTCGTGAGAAAATTTCTGATAGATGGCTTATAATTATGGATGAGGTTGTAGTTTTTAAAATTTGTATCTTATATCTGGAATAATAGTCAATGATCACTAGCAACATTTCCTTATTTGTTAGTGGACCCATTAGATCTAGAGCTAAATATTGCCAAGGCATAGCTTGTTCGGCTTGTCTGTCTATCAAAGGCCACCATACCTTCGCTTGCAAGCACTTCTTCATTACCGTTTCTCCCGGATGTCCCTCATGAGCCAATTCCAAGATTCTTTGTGTCAATGACTGTGGAATGACGAGTTGGTTACCTCTCAACAATACTGCCCCCATGTTGGTCAGTTCTGATTTAAACGGAAAATATATGTTTTTATCTGTAGGAGCCCATGAATCGCTGGTAATTTTCTGTATGGTCTCCGAAATAGTCTTTCCAGTATAATTTCGGTTATGCTCATAGCCTTCGGTGTGCATCTTTCCACTATTGAAAATATGTGCTGTTGGCTGCCCACGTCAAATGACCTGCTTGAAGTTTGCAAAGCCTAGATAGGGAGTCGGCGATGTTGAGTTTACCGGGTTTGTAAATCACTTTAAATTTGTATATATGCTTGCAATCTTAACAACCACCTTTCAATTCGAACTGGAGGTTTGAAAGTAGGATTAAAAATAACTTGTTTATGATCTGTGACCAGCTTAAATTTCAAACCAGCAACATAGAAATAAAATCTTACCAGTGCCCACACCAGTGCTAAACTTTCCTTTTCTGTTTGGGAGTACCGCTTTTCAACGTCTGAATTCAGCCCTTAAAGGCTTTTGCTTGCTAAAGAAATTGGTTTAGGATTGTCCTTGTTGTCGAACTGTAAGAGGACGGATCCAAGTACCACAGGGCTGGCATCTGCAACTATTTGAGTACGGCGATGTGGTTTAAAATATGATAGAGTTGGGAGTTTAGCCAATGATTTTTTTAATTTTTCAAAATGATGTTGATGAACGTCACTCCATGCAAATGGTAGATTCACTTTGATTAGTTGGCGTAGCGGTTCAGTTACGGTGTCCAAATCAGGAATAAATTTTCCTAGATACGTAACTAATCCCAGAAAGCTTCTTACTTTTTCCTTGGTTTCTGGTGCTCGAAATTCTAAAATAGTTTTAACTTTTCTTTGATCTAATTTAATAAATCGAAGTATAAACATTTAAATAATAATATAATTTATTTATTCATTTATTTATTTAATTTCATGCCTCAATTTTTTTAACATGTGGGTAATATGTTTTTTTGCTTACGCATGTCGAATCCAATCGGGGGCCCCGTATCAATGATACGGCTGATACCGCGGTTGCTACGCCCCTGGTCTCGGTGTTTTCTGTATCGATAACATTTATTTTTGATTTAAATCGTCTTTTCTGTTGAGTGAATTCATTTGTCGCAAATGACCTCAAAGATTGTCGGGTTCTACAAAATGCGGAATAATGTCCTTGAAACCCACATTTGTGACACTTTGCATCTTTTGCTGGACATTCTTTTATATTTCCTGAATGTCCCTTTTTTCCACACCTTTAGCATGCATCCCTCCGTTTTTCTCGTTGTATGGTTATTTTATTAACCGCTGCTGAAGATGTACCCGGTTCGCTCATTACAGTTGTATTCATTGCTCTCGATTAATTTCCAATTTGTTGGTGAACCTGGCATTGTTCAATTATTTCGTCGATTGATCTTTCCTTCCCCAATAATTAATTTTTTAATCCAACGGTGCCCAGTTATCGATAATTTTATCTTTCATGTTTATTTATATGGCTTCGTTTTCTGTTTTTCCAAAAGAGCATCGTTTTGCTTGTTGTCGTATTTTAAGCTAGAACTTGTTAAAATTATCCCCAACTTCTCGATGTATGTTTCGAAACACGTGACGTTCAAACGTAGAATTTTGTTTAGGAGAGAAATATTCAGTCAGTTTATCGGTCAGTATTTTAAACACATCATTTTGTTTTTCCTTATCAAATGGTTCTATAGCTCC